CCACAAAATTTCTTAATAGAAAATCTGATAACGTCAAAGATACTATAAACATATTATGAAAAAAAAATTCCAGTTACCAGTTAATAACTCTACTGCCTCAAATAGACTTTGAAAGGGAAGAATGACACTATATCAGGAAAAAAACATCTGAATTCATCAGCCCCCCTTTTTTTCCTTCTATTTTTGACATATTAGGGTAATTTCCTTCTAATATAACCTCAAGCTTTAGAAATATACATTTTCCACTAATAAAATATAATGTAGATTTTAATTCCATGCTTTTTCAAAAGGTAGAATTTTAATTAACATTATTTGAATTTTTTTTGTTGAAAAAATTCAGATTTATTAATTACTTTCTACAGCTATGCAAGTCTATATTAAGACAGCATTAAATGATCCAATCAATCTCAAGAATCAAAAAGATTTTTATAAATGTAATTTCAAATGTGTTCGAATTTAACACACACCAAGAAAGAAAGTAATTTCAATAACTAAAATTAATTAATGCAGCAATTTATTTAAAATAAATTTTAAAACTAAGAAAAGAAAACAATAAAGTATCAATTTAAAACACCGTTTAACTTTCAAAATCAATGATTTTTTAAAAAAAAAATCATTTGATTTAAATCATGTTTTAAATTATGATTTAAATCAACAAACCCTGATAGCTAGTAGTTGAGAAAAGACGCCATGAAAAACATTACAAAACTTTAAGAGTGACTAACTTTTGAACTTTGAAACATACAATGCTGTAAAATGTAAAAGTATTAGAGTTTAGTTTACAAACTAAGCAAAATAAAACAGGAAGGACCAGGGTAATTAATTTAAGGAATAACTGATCCATTTTAGTGCAAGATAATGAAAAAGTAAAGTCTTATTACAAATTTTAAAATTCTATGTCTATTAAATTACCCAAGATGGCGTTTGTAACAGCTGAGAGGCTTTCAAAACACTGTTTCCCTTTTCATTCTAACTTACAATACGTCATCGCCAATTCCAAGATGGTGCTGAAGTAAAAGAGCATAGATAGCCTTTACAGATGGTTTCAAAATAACATATCTGAAAGAAGAAGAAAAAATATATAATATTTTAATAACCATTACAAAATGTATCTCATATTTTATCATCAATTAAGACCATACAAGTAAAACGGGCATGGGATTGCTGAAGGAAGGAATTATCTAAATTTTTCATATTTATAATATATTATTTATGACTTCAGTCACTTTTCACTAAAAGAGTTCTTGCATTAGTTCTTTACTCTGTATATGAAAAGCTTTCAAAGCAATTGCCTTTGCATAAATATATTAAACATTGCAGTATCAGATTGTATGTTTACAAATCCAATTATCACAAATTCGAAGTATAAATTGTGTGCGGAGAAGTACCTCGGAGAGAACATCAAAACACTTATCACAGTCATATTTGACTTAAGAATCACATAAGTTAAAATATGTTACAAAGTTGGGACATATTCAGCTATGGATTGCTTTTCATTATGTACGGGGTATCTGCGACATTTAAGATTTTCAAATCCCTGACTTTCCATCAATAATTCCAAGAAGTTGTCATGACTTACCGAAGTTACTATTTTCTCCGACAAAATCACAACAATAAATTTAAAAAGGCAATATAATAACATTAATTGAAATGATAGGTATAACCAAAGCTGTTATACTCTGAATCCTTGAGGCAGAATTTTTTCGAGCTATCTGCGACAAAACTCTCTAGCACTAATATCTTTCTGCAAGATACCTTTCATAATAATAAACATGTATGCTGCTAATTTAAATTAACAAAAGCGCTGTGTTTTTTAAAAAAAATTAAAAAACTATATATAACTTTTTTAAATTGAATGTGTAATTTTTATTAGAACATTACATGCAACATTTTCGTATTTTGTTGGAAGGCGGGGGGACACAGAAATTATTTCCTTCACCTTTTGTAACTAATCATCACAATAAAAATTATTGCAAATCATTAAATACGTAGTAGTACTTGGCAAAAGAAAAAAAGATTGACGACAAATTCACACGAATCGGTCGCCTTAAATCAGTGTTTCGTTTCTAGATTAGACTGTTGTATAAAAATATCGTAAAAAAAATATCAGATTTTAAAACTATGGAGAAATCAGCAGCAATATCTGATAAAATTCAACACAATTATTGACTTAGAAAGTAAATACCCAAATACAAGATTCCAATTTTTCAGGTTGTTTATTGGGATATTTAAAATCAACATCAATAACTGACGAAAATACATCAATTTACGCTACTATCAGCGTATATTTGAGCATGTCAAAAAGTTATTATTTAAAGGCATGATTAAAATATAACTGGTAAATTTCTGTCAAAAAATAAATAAAGGTAATTTTCGTCATATTTCAAGTCTTTTAGACATTTTTTTAGTCCGAGAGGAACAGACAAATTGTTATAGTGCACAGAACCAATAAAAGTAAACAAGATCTTTGGGAATATCAGAATTGAATAATGTGATATAATTTAATAGTTAACAAACTTGGACTAAAAAAAAAAGAGGAAATTGGCGTAATTTTGGCAAATATATATACACATATCAAAACCCCTTCCGAAATTATTCATTACTTGATTAATGAGCTATTCGGTTCGGTAAGTAAGATGTAGACATATAAAATTTTCATGATTCAATTCTTTTTTTTGTAAATTAAACAGTATATTTATATATATATTAACTAAATACATTAAACATAATAATAATTAAACAT